AACAAAACAATTGGGTATTATTATTTAAAGTCTCCTGAAGTAAACCAGAGTTCCGATCGAAAAATATTGATCTTCAAGAATTCTATACCGTTTATACTAAAAGTTGTTTTTTTTCATATAAAATACATGGAAAACCTCGACCTCTAAATATTTTTTGATTTCAGAATAAAAAAATAGGGGTGTACTTTTTTCGATATAGAACAATCCTAGGGGGGTCAGGGCATTAAAATTCCGACTTGACCTTTTTTTTGATCACCCTAAAATACATACATACATATTATGTACATACCATATGGCTGAAAACTCGTGAAATGGATTTCTTTTCTGCGATGTCGAAGTATTAAGTTCTTAGCTAAATATCCTGTAAAGGGTTGTATAACTCGTTTTTTTTCAAACATTTTTTTAGTTTAATTTTATTCGCATTTAAAAAAATTGGTAAGGTTTTCTTTGAATATTAATTTAGGAACAACTAATTTTAGTAGTAAGTGATATTAATTTTAATTTTTTACTAAAAAAATAAATCTATTTAATGGCTCAAAAAGAGTTATTTAATTTTTTATACTTTTTATACATATTGGCCCCTATTATGAGTTGCATTCGACCTTCGACTAGGGTTGCCAACCGTACTATAATATATAGTATTGTACTATTTTTTGGGTATGCGTACTATATACTGTTGGAAAAAAATATAGTATGCTAAAATACTATATTTCTTCAATTATAAATATAAATATATTTTACTAATTTTTAAGAAAGACTTGTTTTAAAATGGATGACATTTATACTGAAATATCAATATTAAAAGAAATATAATTTAAAACAAAGGGTCCATAGATCAAAAATGGCAACATTTTTAAAAATACTTAGAAAGATTTACCAAATTTATTTAAAATTATGCTCTCTATTCCCGCAACTTCGGCATTCACCGAAAGAGTTTGTTCTATTAAGATTTTGAAATGGTACGATGAGAGAAATAAAGCGAATATCTCACTAATAAAATTTAACTTTTGATTTATATTAATTTAGATATTGATAGTGATAAAGGATATGATACTTTCAAAGAAATATATTTTTTTATAGGGGAAATGCATACGAGAGAAAAAAGATGTACACTTAAAAAGCATTTTTACTTTTTCTTAAAAAAATACTATATATATTTGAAATGTACTATATTTTTCGGATTTTTTTGAAAAAGTACTATAAATTTCTTAGAAAATGTTGGTAACCCTACCTTCGACTGTGGTGGGAAGTGCTGGTCGAACGAATTTTCATTTGGTATTATGACGCTCATTCGATGAGGAATAGCGCTATTGTGAATTTCGCTCGTTTTGGTTGTTTACAAATCGAGCAAACTAAGTAGTGTGCTTATACATATTTATGTAAATTTGTGCAAGTTAAAATGAAGTGAAAAAGAAGCGAGTTTATAAAAACTTGATAAGAATGAGTACAACGTAGCTCTGTAGCTCGTTTCTGTATATCTTCTCTTCCGATTATTACTCTACTGGTAGAGAATATACGTCGTTCTCTACTACTCATTAGCAGTAAAGAACAGGGCGGCGAATTCATATCTCAATTCGCCTTGGTAGAGAATTGTTACAGAAATGAGCTACTGTATCGACGATTCGTCAGAGGATGAGAGTTTAGTAAACTGGCCAGGATATACATTTATGAAACTTGTCTACAGATTTATTAAAAACTTCCGACTGTCTAAAGAGGCGTTTGTAGACCTGCTGTCCGCTACTAAAAACCTGCTGCAGCAATACTCTCGAGCCAAATCTATTTAAAATATTTTAAAACTATCAACAGCTCTCCGATTGGGATTTTCTAACACTTCGCTACAGCATCGAAAGCAAAATTCTGTTCGACAGAAAATTCGATACTCAACGACAACGACGACACGGTTGCATAGCTCATAATACGAAGTTCACATTCGATCTTCCATAACCAGCGAAGATCGAAAACCGAATGCAGCTCATAATAACCCGTTGTGCGCATATTCTAAAAGAAAGTTCGGATTCTCACTAAACTCTGTGAATATTTTAGTGTTTGTCATTGTCATTAATTTTTCAGCAAAATGATTTTATTCAAAAAGACCTTGCAAATTTTTTAAATGAGAATAAAAATTAAACTTTAAAATATTTTTTAAAAACGACTTATGAAGCCATTTACAGAATGTTTAGGACTACGTGAAAATTAAAAAAAAAATATAATAATATTTCATCAACGCGCAAAAAATGGTCCGTTTCACGAACTCTTTCTCGAAGTTCCCTGCGTGTCATTTTTATACCAAATTTTTTTTGACTTTTCATAACTTCTCATTCTCTACTCATAAGAATACATACATATATCATGATTTAATAATAAAAGGTTTGATAACCTGGCAGTTGTCTCGTTCGCACGGCTCATGTAGTCATGGATAAAGACTCGAGCTCGATAGTTGACCACGAAAAAAGACGCCTAAAAAACCTGCCGCATACAAAGTCTCTTAACATAGTTGACGGCGAAGAAATACGCGTTAACCTATTTTACGGCGAAGAAAGACGCGGATGTAACAGTATGCAATCTCAAGAGCTTTGGGGAATGATGCTGAAGTGACAGTCCTTGACCAGGTATAAATCTGTGTTTACGCGTTTTTCTTCGCCGAACTTTTTTTAAGCGTGTGTTTTCGTCAATTGTTTTTCACGCGTCCTTATTCGAAAAATGGCCATTGGAAAAAACCGGTTCCCCATTTTTAAATTAAGATACTTGAGTAATACTTGCTGTTAGTCAGAAATCATGACCAAAATTACAATATGATATACAATAACAAGTAGAACAGAAAAAATTTGTGAAAAATGCACACTTAATGGGGTTCACCGATCTTAACCAGGTTAGATCGTTAAAACGACGGTTCTTTGTTGGGAAAAAGTCTGGCATGTATACCTGACTATCTTGGGAAATATAATACATTATCCGCTGAACCAGACCAACTATACAAATATAGTCACACAAATATATCAATCAACACCTTCGGCAATCACCGGAGACAAACACAACCTATCGCGGACGCAAAGCTCGAGATGCTTCGGGCTCGCGATACTTTGGCACAACTTCATTCGGGATATTGTAGCAGGTTAAATCCAATTTGGATAAGATACCCCGACGACACTGACTACCTCTTTTTATGCCCACTCACATCAGCTCATCTGACATCCCTCTCCCTGTGGCCCAAACCCGTCGGATCTGGCCTTTTCATGAGCCTGCCGTTGGATGAGAATGAAGGCAACATGTAATCGATGCTTTTATTTAGACAGAGTTTAGTAAGCTGCTACAAAAAAAAAACAGTGAAAGGTTTCGTTCGGGTTTCCTTTTATTTTTAGGTAATATTCTGTAGTTGAAAATTTTCCAATATTGAGGTATGTATCGATGGTTGGGTGGAAGATCGACACATCTCGGCAGCCAGTTCAAAAACGCTTCCTCAAAAAATTTGTCAAAAACGCGGTATTTCAGAATTTGGTTGAAGAACGCCTTATTTCAGAATTTTATTGAAAAACACCTCATCTGAGAATTCTATTCAAAAACGCCCTATATCAGTTGCCGATTCAAAATTGCCCTATCTAAGTACATTTTCAATGTGTTTTCGTTTGAGATAGGGTGTTTTTGAACCGAATTCTTCTGAGATTGGTCGTTCTTCACCCAAATCCTGAGATAGAGTGTTTTTCAATAAAATTCTGAAATAGGGCGTTCTTCAATCCAATTCTAAAGTAGAGCGTTCTTAAAAAGTTTTTTGAGATAGGGCGTTTTCGAACTGACTGCCGAGATAGATTGATCTTCCACTCAGCCATCGGTATATAGTAAAATTAATAAAAATGTTCTGGTTCCATTTTTAATCAAATAAATATTTCGAATCTGGTAAATTAATAAATTAGGTAAAACCCCAGTTTATTCGATTGTAAAAATCCGGTTTACTCAGCATTCGAGAAATCAAGATTTCTAAAAATTCCGAAAAAACCGAGTCAATCAACCTAATATGTGTGTATATAAAACACTTTTAACTGATTAAAATATAAAAGAAATAATAATATACAATCATTTGATGGTGCCAGCAAGCTGGTGTCGTGTATTTCCCCTTTAACTGAAAGGCTATATGTAATACAACTATGTAACACATGTACATAAGTACCTTATTTTTTGTCAATTGATAAAATAATGGCAATTGATAGCTGTAAAAATTTTATTGTTTGTTCAAACTTTCTTCAATATTTATTGAGGATGCTCGCACTTTATGGATATTCTTTCAAAGATGCTTCAGAAGTACTCTCTTATATAGACGTACGAACGTATGTACCAGAATAACTACTTATTGTTATTTTTGCTATTATTATGTTGATGTATGCTCATAAATAAGCCGCAGTCTTTATATACCGTTTTGTGCTACTATGCAATGTGATGGCGTTATTACAAATGTAGCATGCGTTATGGTTATTTTATTAAAGTGAATGTTATGCATAGTTGGCTAATTTCTGTCCAAATAAACTTAACTTTACTCATATTTGCCGCTTTTATTGGATGAATGTAATTACTGCTTCAAACAAGACGTACATTAACGTATTGGTAATAAGTTCCCAAAAACACGGTCTCAAAGATATGATTTTTTAAATGACCATTTGCCGTTAACGCCTGAAATATTTTTTATGTTTTGGCATAGTATTTACCAAGTATAATTTAACAAAATCTTTAGCTGATGAGCATTTAGCAGAATTAATGCCCATATTCGAACGTATACGCACACAAGAGCAAGTTCCGTGTGCTTTTCCTATACATATGGGGGCAGGAGGTACAGTCTTTGTACGTTGTCATAATAGTCGCTCTTTACCATTAAGCCCACATGTATTGCATTGTCATCCCACAACACATTGGGTAAGTCAAAAAGGTTTATTTTTTCAGGTATTTAAAAATACAAAATTTTACATCTTTCTAAACATGTTTACTGTACCTGTAACTTTCACTATTTATTTAAGGTTCGGGAACGCTCGGTACGTTCCATACCAATGTCACGACCGTCCCGTTCATCTCAATCAGCTTCTACTCCTGACTCTCTAAGTGACAATGAATTAAGTCAAGCTGGCGCTCATGGTCGATACACTCCACGAAAAATTACATACACCAGTACTCGCAGTGTCATAACGCCTTCTGGATCACGCGCAGGATCGAAACCTAATTCCCGTCCTTTGAGTCGACAAGGCTCGAAACCGTCATCCAGACATGGATCAAATTTATCGCTTAACAGTACAGGTATGTATTCTTATAATTCTTTTATAGTAATACACATATGTATGTGGGTTGTTCGCGTGCTTTTCCAGTAAAAATTATCCATTATCCAGCATCTAAATTTCTTAGAATCGCATTCTAAGAGAAAACCATGGTAAAAAATAAGAGGTAGTTTCACTCAATGATTTTGGTGGCCATGTTAGCCATTTGACTTTTGTTTGCTACAAATAAATATCATTATCAGCTTCAACAAATAGATTACACAGTCCAACAAATATGGAAAAAATTGGTGGGGGACAAATCTTAAAGCTATTTTTGATAAACTTTTTTGTGCTGACTAGGAATTCGTAAGTAAAGTTACCGTCTTCAGATTATGAGACAAACGATGTCAAAGTGTCAAAAAATCGCGTTTTTAGGAATATTTGAGAAGCTCTAGCAAAGAAACACATAGGCTTTAATTAAAGTTGGAATTATCATCCCTGCACCTTGATCTGATTATCACTTAAGGTCATTTATTGAACAGAAACAGCAAAAACTGATTTTGGCGAAGTTCGAGTACCTACCGCAATCAAATAAGTGTTAATAGAACCTTCAACTTACGCTTAAATTGAGGCTTGATCTTCCGACTACAATCCGTAAAACCTACCGTTCCTGCACCTTGACCCTGAGGTCCCTTATAGTCATTTTTTGAACAGCAAAAACTGATTTTGGCAGTTTTTTTAATAGCACAATTTTCCAATAATTTTGATTGTTCAATAAATGACTATATGTAAATAACCATCAGATGAAGATGCAGAGATGGTATTAGTCGAGAGGGGTAATAGTGGAGAGTTCTGCCTTTAATTTAAGCCCAAGTGGAAGGTTCTATCACCTTTTGTTTCTTTGGTAGAGCTTCTAAAATATTGCAAAGTACACGATTTTTTGACACTTTGACCTCGCTTTTCTCAAAACCTGGAGCTGAGGGAAACTTTATGCTTACAGATTTCGTAATAAGCACAAAAAAGTCTATAAAAAAACAGCTTTAATATCTGCCGCACACAGTGCCACAATGTTGCCCTGTGTTATTTTTTAGCTGCTTTTGAAAAAATTTCAAACAGATCTAACAAAAAAATCACTAATTTTATTAAAATGATAAGAAGAAACTATTAGTTGCGCATGTAAAGTTACTGGGAGTTCTATACATTGTGCAGAGATTTAAGGGTGAAATTTTTCAAATTTGCACCGCTGGTTTTTTATTTCACATGCATATGGTTACAAAAGGTTATCAAAACGCAAAACAGAGGAGAGAAGAACTGAATAAATAAATGAAAAATTTAAATATATAAATATGTATTTCTAGTAAAAGTATTGTATGGGGGAAAAAGCTGTCACGTCCAATATGCCACGTCGGTTATCACATTTTAATAGGCGGCATACACAGTGCGGCTGACTCGCGAGTCATTTATGTATGTTTTGACTCGCCTTCGACTACACATAGTTGAATCATTCAGAGTCATTCCAGGAGTCATGTCGGTGTAACTAACACATATTTATTTTCACAAATACATCCAATACTACTCGCGAGTCAGACGCACTGTGTTTACGGCGGGTCAAAAATCTATTTGTCTCAAATCCCTTGGTTGGTCAACAACAAGCCTGCAAAATATTAGTCTTTTATTTTAATTATAGGAGCCCGCGCATCAACCGCCAAGTGACACACAGGAAACTACTCGAATAAGACAAATTCTTGTTAAAAATTCTGGGTTCAGCAAAAAGGTTTGGTGCATATTATTAGATAATGAACCCGTTAACGCAAAAGATAAGGTAAAATGTCATTTCTCGCAGCACTTGAGCTTATCGTTTATCTCAAACTTATCTATTTTCAAGAAAATTTGAATTGAATTCTCTTAATAATTGCACTGGCCTATAGTCAAAAGATGTAAACAACAGCATTAATATTGCAGAGATGCATTTAAGTTGATGGTTCCAAATATTCTAATCTTGTTTTAATATTAGCCATAGTTCGCGAATTTTCGCAAATTTAGGAACAATTTCGGTAGCTCTAATAGAAAATCCATTAATTTCCATCATCGTGGAAAAATTTTTGTGTATGCAAATGAGTATGGGAACCCTGAACAAGCACAACTTCTAGAAACACTAATTAGTTTACTTATGTTTGAAATTGAAAAGTTGAACAAAGTTGACAAAAGTTTTTGTTAAACATTTATTTTTTTTTAAATATTTTTTTATAATCTGAATGATTTTCATCATATTATTATCACAAAGCAGTAACAGATGAAAGGTTCCTTTGACCAAACCTAGTCTGTTATATGTTTTTAGGGTCGCTGAACACAAATCTGAAGTCCGTTTTTCTCCATCACGTCTGAATTTTTTTCTAACCTCAAAAAACATCTTGGATTTTACGTGACAGAGAAAATCCGAGGTTTTTTTTGAGGTTAGGAAAAAATCTAGACGTGATGGAGCAAAACGGACTTCAGATTCGTGTTCAGCGACCCCAAAAACATGCCATAGACTAGGTTTGGTCAAAGGAACCTTTCATCGAATTTTTTTGTGGACCTGTGTAATTATAACGTACCAATGGAGTAATATTTGCTGAAGTTATATCGAAAAACTTACGTGGATCTCTAGTTGTTTTTAAAAAAATTGCCTTCCTTAACTTGGTTGCTGAAGTAATGAAGAATTGAAAACTTTATCAAGAACATAATCTTATAAGTTTACGCACTCTGTTACATGAACGACCCACACTCTCTTTTCGTTTATACTTGCGACAATAGTCGTGTTTTCTTTGGTTATCCAGCTCAGTATCACTAACTTTATACTACTAGCACGAGGATAAAGAAATTATAGAAACTAACTCACTAAATAGGAAAAAATTATATTTACGAGATAATATCTATTTAAATAAATATACATATAACATACAGGCGATTAATTTGAACCAAGTTAGATGAAACAATGGCAGAATGTCTGTTTGTGTATGAATTCATTTGTCACGGCTACCAAACTTTGCATCCAAATTATCAGTGAAACAAAACAAACAGAACGGATAATAATTGAACCAGATCTCTATCAGGATCATATCGTTGTTGTTGAATTTGTGTGCAAAATTTTAATGCGGATCCCGATTATTGCTCAAGAAAACATAGCTAGAGTTGCGGCAGAGTTGCATTGGCTTCAGTTTATCAAGTTTATTCAGTGAAATCGTTGGAGAAATTTATCAGAAATGTGTAAACTAGTTTCCATACAAATTTTGACAGTCCATTTATAACGTTTACACAATTATAAGTTTATAAGGTTTACAATGCATTTATAAGGCTTGATGAATACCCTTAATATTACTATTACAATACCGTCAAATGCCTTTTATTTTCCCCCATACAAAATCGACCCAGCCTACTGTGTATGCCGCCTATAATTCAAAATTAAACCGTGATTAAAAACAAATGGGTTCTTATGGTCCGTAGTTTGACTTTATTTAAAGAATATTTAAGAAAGGAAAATCTCACAGGATTCACAGAGTTTTGGTTATTTTAACATGTACTCTGAAACCACTTCTGTTATGATCTCTCCTTTTCATCGATTTTCTCGACACCAGTGTTCCCAGCGCACCTAATTTTTGTATCAACCTAACTCACAACGCAAAATTTTTTTATAAGTGACTTCCGTTTTCGTATGATTTATTTAACTATGTCATGTCCGACTTCAGGGAAGCACGCATATGTATGTTTGTATGTATGCAGGTATGCATTAAAGGTCTGCATGAATGCACGAAAAACAAACCTCAAATCACACACAACAAATTTTAACATGCATTCATTCACGCCGGTAGAAGAGGACATCTCGTGTCTGGGCAACAAACTGACAGAATCTCTTATGAATCCGAACAACATTGAGTTCGCTCAACTCGTAGCATTCTCACAAGCAACAATCCACACTCGAAATAATTTGTCAACCAAACCATTCGACTTATTCTGGTTGCACCACCACCACAAAAATTGACCGATTTCAAGACGCTGTAAAATTAATTTAAATTCGGGTATAGCACAACTTATAACTTAGGCTAAATTACCCTACTAAGTTTTTTTTATTATCGCAACCAAAATAACTTAGTAAAATCTTTGTAAGCTTTCTTCTTGAGCAAATTTAACAAAGTAACATGTATTTTACCTAGGTCGACTAAGTTAATCCTTGGCGAAAGCTCTTTAGTAATTTAGAAAAATTTCTTGGTTATTTCACACCGTATAATATTATCCTATATACAGGCAGGTTCTGCAATCCACTTCCGAGTGAATTTTAACCCCATTCAATTTAAATTCAAAGTGGCTTTGTTTGAATTTCACTCGGAAGTGAACTGCAGAACCTTGGAAATATTTAACCAAATTACTTTTGTGATTTGCGAAAATTTTCCTTGAAATATGCCGATAATGCAGTGAATAGCAACAATTTAAATATTTTCCAACCATACTTTTTATACAAAAATTTAAACGACCAAAATAATACATAAAAGGAGCGGTATTTTTGTATTTTAAATTGAGATATAAAAATATGGTTGACAAAAACCTAAATTTATTTATTTATTTATTTATAAGTTGTACAAATTAAGACTAAGTATTTTGCCTGCACATCAACTTTCTAATATCAATACAGATTTATTTTGTGAATATCTTAAAAGCTAATACTATTTTAAGCATGATTTTTAAGTAAGGACACCCTAGGGCAAGGTTAAGTTATTTTCGTTACATGATTTTTAGAGCTGATAAGATTAATAAAGAGTAAGAGATAAGTTCTGAAAATGTTCAAGAAGGGCCAACTTAAAGCAATGACGATGTTTTAACATTTTTGTAGCACTAGGTAGTGCATTCCAGAGCACAACTGCACAAACAAAGAACATGCGGGATGATACCTTTAGCTTGTGTAAAGGGAGGTACGAGAAGATACGGCAAATTTTAACTTCGTAAATAGATACAGCGGAGTACGTGAGTTTATCAACTTGTGCAAAAACAGAAGATTTCGAAAACTAAGGT